CGTAATAACCTTATTATTATACATTCTTTCTTTCCAAGATACATCATGGGAATGCTGAAATACAAAAGGTTTAGAACAGAATCAGCGAACTTTTTTGTGTGGAGTCCAGTCAAACCCTGGTGGCAGCCATGTATGGTTTTATTATTAGAGAACGCTTATACGCGCGTAATTTTTCCATATTTGGAATTCGCATTTCCTTATATGGTAGGACGAAAGTACCCCTTGAAATACCGCAAAATTACGGTACATTGTAACGTATGGCGTTACGGTGACTGATGTATAATAATACTGTGTATTCCATTATTTATTTAATGTGTTGCTTTGTAGTAGTGGTGTTTACTTTTACTACACTACTTGTAGCGAGTAGTGCCGCATAGTTCTTCACCTGCAGATTCGCTAATTCTCTTCCCAGCGAAGCGGAGGAGATAGGATAATCAACTCATGACCTTTTTTAGTCACATGATCAACACGATTTTCATAAAGACAGATCAACTCTTAATGTTTTAAGACACCCAAAACATCGATAATCGTGAGTTTATGGCATTTTCGATCGACAGTATGCCTTAATCCTATACAATACTAATAATTTTAATAAATAATGATGAAGATGAATTCTCTTGTCGATTGACAGATGAGTAGACAGACAGCCTGTTTGCCTGACCGGCACGTGTAAGGTGAACAAATGGGTGCATTTCCTTCGAGTCCGCCGCCTTGCCTGAGCTCATAATCCTAACAGGTGCAGAAACTGCCAAGTGTAAGATGTGACCCAGCAGGTACAGTCTTCTTTAGTTAATAAGTCCCATTCTTTAGCTAATGAATCTCAGCCAGAGGAATTGACCCTCCCAATATGTACATGTAGTACACTCACTCAGGGTAGGGGTCGACCCTTTTCATATCCAGCCTAAGGTAGGATTTGAACTTTGGTCTACCAGTCATTAGTCTGGTGCAACGACCTCTATGCTTCCAGTGATAAATAACAGTCAAGGTCAATATACACACGTGAGTATATTGGTATGTGAATATCACTGCGCTGCGAATTTTCACAAATCTTATAAATATGCGATCAATGTGAATATTACCTGACGGATGGCAATGGACGTCTTCACTCCCGGTTTTACTGTTATCCCATCATCCTCCGGGAAGGGGGTAATATGCGGTGGATGTACCAGTACACGTACTCCTGCCTCTTGTCCATATAAAATAATGTATTCATTTTGTTCAACGTATAACGTAATTTTCAGTCCTATGGATTACAATTGTCATAGCAAAGGTTACAGTAATTGTAAAAATGTTATGGAAAATTGTTCATTCATATCAATGTCACTGACACTGTGACTAGAAATAGTCACTTCAACGCATGCAATATACCTTAAAGGAAAGTTCCCCATATTGTCAAATCTCTGTTTATATTATTAGTGTGAGTGAGTGTGATAATAACTAAGGAATATTTCATGAAATTATTTGAAATGTAACCAGTAAAAAATATTCAACGTCTTCCACGTATCGTACGGAGTTATGTGGAGAGTGTCGAGTTCAACAATCGTTTTGTTCACCATCTGTTTTGCAGGTTGAAGCTTGTCACGTGGTTGGGTGTCTTAAGACATGTCTACTTGATGCAATAGAGTGAAAGAAAATGCTTGCAGGTGAAATTGTCATAAAATGTGTGCATGCTGCCCTCAACGGTCGCTTGTACTTTCACAGAAATATAGCAGCCATAATTTAAATTTGTTTCTCTTCCTGGTGTTTCAGTTAAAATATTGAGATGTTTGAAGCATACCTTGTTTAGGACCAGGTCTTTTAGAATCACGAATAATGGTTCTGTTGTAGCCGTGGTTGAATGTGAAACAGTTTCCATATGTGTCGTGTTGAAATGTGTGGAAGTCACTAAAACATGAGACAAAGTTTACCATGTTTTAAATGATCTAAACTTTCTTACTAATACCTTACTTATCCAATCTTTTTCATTTCTAATTTTTCGTATACCATGCTAAATTAACCTTAGTTCATTTGAAAATTGATATGGTATGACGTCATTTCTACTTTTTATATATCTTACTCGTCTAACTAAAATTATCTTGCATATCGATACTGTATGACGTCATTTAACCTCCATCATAAACCCGACCAATCAAACCTGAGTTAATTTGCATATCAATATGGTATGACGTCAATTATAATCTCTCGTAAGACATGTGTAAATAACTAAACATCGACATCGCTATAATGTTCCTTTCGCAGCTGAAAATTACAACTTTTGGATGAAACACAGACAAGCGATCGCGGTTGTTAGCTATACTTTTGCATGCTCCGTGAATTTTGAATCATTCTCTGTGGTCTTTTGAGATTTTAGAAACAAATCCCAGTAACTAACGCATATAAATTCAAATAACTAGTCTATCTAATTCTAATTCTAATTCTAACACTTTATTAAAATCAGCTACTCGATTCTTGAGGCTCAGTCTAGCGCCACCGAATGGAGAGAGTAAAACCTACCGGTGAGTGCATTTTTTCTCATCAAATGAACACTGAATGATGAAGTCTTCTGCCTGGTGGCCATAAACTGACATTTCCTTAGCACTAAGTTTAATCACGTCTCTCAGATCGCTTAAATCGGGAGCAGAACTAAACGTCAAGAAACCTTCAAGACAAAAGATACAAATATACAAACGCAACTTAAATTAAATTCAACTTAAATTCTGTATTTTGGATACAGAAAAACTCCCGATCATTATCAATCATTTCCAATGTGAGAACCCAATCTTCATAATACACAGATATTCTGCAGTAGTAGTTTTCGCCATATTGCAAATGTTGGCAATCTCTGACTATATTAATACAATGCACTTCTTTTGGGAAACAACCAAACAATATCTCTGCTATAGGCTGCATGCAAATAATCATGAGGTTTGTTTTAATAAAGCGTGCAAAGATTGGAACATGTCAAAGACAAAATTGCCTTTAATCTTCCATCTTGACAACGCCTGATGTTTCAATATTTTTACTTCTCTCGGATTCGTATAATGACAGACCTGTTGCTCACCTTTCCAGTCTGGTGGGTTTTCACTTTTCACGCGGCCGAATCCGTGATCGCGGTAATAATTGTTTTCGAAGTCCCGATACAACCTGTAGTCTCGCGAGATTTTATAGTACTTTGTATACCATGGAGTCTTCTCTTGGTCTTCGGTAATTTCAGTTTCTGTAAAACAAAATATTTACTCGTGTTGACGAATGTGTGCAATTTGTTTCACTCGTGACGTCACTGCAGGATAGTATGCCCAGACAAAAACAAATTGTTTTGTTAACTTGGAATGGGTATCAGTTTGAATACGTAAATAAGTTATGTAGTAACAGCATTTATTATATTCCAAACGAACGCTATCACTGGTAGATAAGGAGTCACGTGACGCGGGTATGGCGTAGGTATAGATAGATATTCCTTTTCATTTTTTACGGCAATTAACCTTCTCTATCATTGAAAACTTGTCAAATCATGTACACGTACCTCGGACACAGTTTGTTAGCACTTGGCAAATTTCTTCACGTAAAGGAACAGGAAGAGGACAGTTCGAATCAGGTAACGCGACATTGTTAGCTCTGTTACGGCAAATGACACTTCGAAATCTCATTCCCGAGCCGCATGTGACTGTACACTGAAAATAACAATACGTAGTGTAAATGTATTATAGTGTAAATGTATTATAGTGTAAATGTATTATAGTGTATATATTAACTGAATGTGTTATAATATGGATAATGCTAGTTAGTAACCGTATTGATTATTCTGAATAACTAACTAAGTTTTGGGCAATAGCCCTTTCATCGCCAGATTACCCCCCCCCCCCCTCCAAATTTGTCTGCACTTTTTTTCTATACTCTTCAATATTTCTGGAAATGGGCCATAATTTTAGGGCCATTATACAGAATTGGGGTCAGTTTTAAGTTTTTACTGAAACATTTGGCTATTTTTGCAGACTATAAACGGGACTATTTTGTGAATTTGTGATGAAAAGAGGGGACTGTCGGTGAAAAGTTAATACTGATCAATGGTCATTGCTAGGTGCTAGGTGTTGCTACTAGAATACCCCGGCTTTCTCCGGCTGACGTTGAAGACATGAATTCAGTCCAAATCCGCGTTTCTATGGATATTTTAGAGTTTGATTTGCTCTACGAATGTAATGTGCAGTATCACTGTAAACACTCTGAGATCTGACCTTACCTCCGACCACTGTCCAGCGTGCCATATGTTACACTCGTCAATGAAATCATAAATGGCACTAAAACCGCGCGCTCTTCTCTCGCCATCGCTGATAAAGATTACTTTAGCTTTGGGTGAATCTGACACCCATCGTGGTGGATTGGCGGTACCGCAGTATATCACGGGAGTGGAATTCGTAGTTTGTATCTGTCAAAAAAAACACAGCTAATCGGAATCTATCGGAACAAGTGGACACTAAGACGTGTTTATGTGCACGAGATCTATATAAAACGGTTTATTCAATTCTTAACTTCGTTAATTAAATTAATAAACTTTCTAGTTCAAAAGTCAGTCAGGTTCTGTAACCCCAGAATCCAATGTGTGACAAATCCACTAATGGTTTCAAGCTGAATATTCAAAATTTCCGACTATGTACGAATTATGTAAGTAACGTAATCGAGCTAACAAACACGCATTTTTATTGGAGACCCAAATTTGAATATAACCTTTTACAGCAATGAGCTTCATGTTCGTGATATTTGAGTATCTAATAATTATGTCAAAATGTACTCACTTTTACTTTATCACTGTTACAGTCCTGGCTTGGTTCTAAGGCGAAGTCTTTGAAATTTATCATTATACAACCGCCATATTTATTAACTATCTCAATTTCGCAGTGTTGGTTTTTGGGATAATCCAGAGGGTAGCCCGGGGATCGAATCACTCTGCTTTTGCTTTCTAATATCAAGCCACACTGAGCTGAGAAAATAGCGCCACCAAGAGTTAGAACCGCAATATATAATACATACCTTGCAATACATGCAAATCCCAGACACAATGTTCATCAGAATCGTGCCGAGCTAGGATTATTGGTTTCCGCGATACACCCGAACCCAAGGGTCACTTGACTTGTTCCTTGACCCATGGGTGTTAGAAAGACTCCCATCCCATATAGTATGCTGTGCCTATACTTTACAGTACACAAGACCTTTGGCATAAGTATTTGCACCCCCGGAATACACTCGGCCCCATAGTTCGCAGCAATCGTATTTTGGTTTACTTGCTTCGTAACTTGGTATGTGAATCTTTGCCACATACCCAAAAGTTCACAAACTAAAGACATTTTTTGTCAGAAGAGGAATATACTGTGATAATTTTTACAACAGAGAAATTATAATAAAAAATGATTGTATGTAGCAAGGAGAGAGGGCGCTAGATAGTTCAAGCAAGCTCGGGTGCGTTTTAGTCGATTTGTGTTAATTTGTAAAGATGTCATACCTTCATCACTACAAGGGGACGTGTTGCAATTCGTGGTGTCCGTGGGTTTGTAACCTGCTGCATGACATGGCTCGGTGCCTCTTTTCACTTGCCATTTACTGTTATAACACGTGACCGATCGTAGCTTTATACCGCCACCACAACTACGAGAACACTTGGAATGAAGAAATTTACAAAATAGTGACTTATACGTTTGATGACGTATAAGGAGTGCATGTTTCAGGGAAATCATGTCAGCCTATTCTCGTTTGCTAAAGGGCGATGTTCCCTCATGTCTCTTTGTCAATACTACTTGGTTCTGGTTTTCAAGATACATTGTTTTTTTTCAATATTGCTTAGCAATCGTCGCATATGACCGACTTATTGCTAAACATGATAATATGTAAAATGAACACACAGTATTATTTTGTTGCTATGCAACATAGCGCACTATTGTGTTGATTTCGTCACGGTTTGCGTCTTAAAGATTTGTACCTAACATGTGAAGTTATTATGTACGGCAAACTACAAGTTTTTTTTTTAATTTCAGATTTCATCAAGAGAGACAACATAATGTGTGTCACATTGGTGTTCATTTCCGAGGAGAGCCATGTAACAAGACTATATCAATACAATTGTAGGCAGAGCGATATTCTCGTATTTACAGAATTAAGTAAACAGGCCATTGATGCTACAAATCGTGACTTTTTCCAGTTACGAGTCTGTATTAGAGTAGTATTACTTGACAAACATCACACTACATCTATTGACTTTTACATCAATATTGACAGACGGGGAAATTAAATTCACTAAACACCAATTAAGGTGTCAGACAATTATTTATGCGGATAAGAAGTATTTTGTGTAATTGTGAATACCAAAATAAAATTGACGATGATTTTCTAATTAGTAAAGACATCTTGGACTTTGTCACAAAGTTTTTGTTGACGTCTTCTTGGAAATACTTTTGAATGATCACGTTTATTTTTCTAACAGTTAGGTTATATAATTCATAATCGTCTTTGAAATCTTTATACATAAAATATAATCCCCAGGGATTTTATCAAGTTTTTGAAAAAGCTACCAAATTGAACTTCCATGCGTTCACCGCTTCTCAGCCGATATTAAGCAAATCTTTACACAAATCGACAACACTGGCTAAATATAAATTTTTGTCATTTCTGGGGACATCAAATTTAAATTAAAATAACAGCAGCAATAGCGTTTCGCTATGAACAAGAAGACCTCGGAAATTTGATTAATTACGTACATTTATTATATGTATCCCATTACTTGTCGTACCGTGTCAGTAGAACAGCTTCACTAAAATAAGATTTCTATTCATCTAACTGTCTCGTGCCACATGACACCAACATGACTGTTATTGAAAATCAATTATGATTGTAAATTCACCTTCAATTAGTGAAATTCAAACCAATGTATACTATAAATTACTACAAAATCGATGCAATGTATTACTCACTAGCTTTATTTGAATTGTACAGTCAAGAACACGTAAACACGTAAACACTTAAACAAATATAGTGTTTAGAATTTTACAGTCAAGAACACGAAACAAATATAGTGTTTAGAATTTTACAGTCAAGAATACGTAAACAAATATAGTGTTTAGAATTGTACTGTTAAGAACACGTAAACAAATATAGTGTTTAGAATTTTACAGTCAAGAATACGTAAACAAATATAGTGTTTAGAATTGTACTGTTAAGAACACGTAAACAAATATAGTGTTTAGAATTTTACAGTCAAGAATACGTAAACAAATATAGTGTTTAGAATTGTACTGTTAAGAACACGTAAACAAATATAGTATTTAGAATTTTACAGTCAAGAATACGTAAACAAATATAGTGTTTAGAATTTTACAGTCAAAAACACGTAAACAAATATGGTGTTTAGAATGTTACAGTCATGAACACATAAACAAATATGGTGTTTCGAATTGTACAGTCAAGAACACGTAAACAAATATGGTGTTTAGAATTTTACAGATTCATTGTATTCGTAAGCCGTCATGTTTTTTGTCAATACGTCAGTCACAGGGTATAGTTGCTGTTGGCGTACTTACATGTGACCATCCGCCAGTTTCCCATCTATCTGGTTCCAATGGCATTTTAATAAGACTGTACTCGGCGCTGTATCCCCTACCATCGTATGAACCATCTGTTTTTAAGATGATCTTGACCTTGGCACCACGGACACGTGATACCCATTGGACATTGGACAACGTTCCGCAAAATATGTCTTCACCGGGCATGGATGTTGATCCCTGGGCGTTTGTTACATGGTCTTGCACCTGAATAGACACAAATACAGTGGTAGTTACGTCAATCGATGCTCATTCATATCGTTTTATTACTTGTTTGTAATTATTAGTTATCCATTAGCAATTGTTTACTGGCAGCAACGGCGTTTAGAAAGATTCCCATGAATCACCACAATATGATAATTTATGTGCCATCTTACTTTGACATACTCGTCTTCACAGTGATCTGTCTTCTTGACATCAATGTCATGGAACCACAACTTAATGGAATCCCAGAATGCAATGTGGTCGGGCTGTATGATTAAAATACATTCTGACTCAATTTTGTTGATGACAGGATATGCTGGTGAATATACCATTCCTGAGTCTCTGATCGTTAACGTTACAACAGGACCATCACATACATCTGTAAGTAAGTTGTAAAAAGCCGTCAGCTGTGACAATGATGGACTATGTAATAAAGACACATTCAATTCAATCATATAAGTACATCATAACTAGTTTGAACGTGAAACTCACACAACTCGAGATTTCCACCGTTCCTAGCTGAGCCGAATATTGGATTGCAATATATGTTATTGTTTTGTCTTGTAAACTCCAACCAAAAGCGTGACATAAACAATTGCGGTTTTACCAGTCAGTAAAACTTTGAAACGAAATGACTAAGAATATCGTTGAATTACTTTTTGTTTTCAATAAAACCACCCAATAGCAATAATTACTCGGTATCGCATCTATACCTTAGCTATTCTGTCATTGTTACCACGAGTCACGATGGCGCTAATGTACACCAGATACCAAACTCTACATCTCAAAAATACACGCGTGACTTTTGAATGTATTTAACCATGCTTGGCAATGCATTAAGAGAAACATTGTCGAACGTGTTCGCATCAGGTACTTGACGCCCAATTCGGCGCTCAGTTGAATGTGTTTCGCAGCCAGAAATCTGTCACAAATTTCCAAAATATTGTTGATATTCACAAATATTCACCAGCTAGTTCAGCCTTTTTTTAAGTACTCCCAGTTTAATGGCCACACCACGTTGTTATTTCTATTATTTTGGAGTTGCTCTTTGCTTTCGATTCGAACTACAGATAATAAATTTAACAACAAATTAAAGGTATCCGAGTTAATTTTCGTCATGTCGCATTGTTATAATGGATTGAAAAGCGGCGTTTATTCTCATTTGACGACGGTTCGTCTGACCTTCTGTCCTAAAATTTACAATCACCTATCTCTCATATCCAGCACAAAAACACACACCATTACGCTCCTTGTGTGCCAGGTCCACGTTTATTTTGTTGACCTTGAATGTTTAAGTCATCAGACTTGTTATTTTCATGCTACTGGGAATTGGTTTGAAATATGTAGGTCGAATATTAATTACTAATGTGTATAATTGCAAATGATGACAAATTGAATGTTTATACTGATATTGTCCATTATAATGATTGAATTCATTAGGAATAATGAATACAATTTTGACATCATAGTCTCGCATATTAAGGCAAGCAGAACTTGATCCACCGACTCGTTTGGAAAAGGGAATGTTTCATTAGTATGCTACAACTGTTTACGCGTTACCAGACGTAGTATGAGTATGCTACAACTGTTTACGCGTTAGCAGACATAGTATGAGTATGCTACAACTGTTTACGCGTTACCAGACGTAGTATGAGTATGCTACAACAGTTTACGCGTTACCAGACATAGTATGAGTATGCTTCAACTGTTTACGCGTCACCAGACATAGTATGAGTATGCTACAACTGTTTACACGTTACCAGACGTAGTATGAGCATGTAACAACCATTTACGCGTTAGCAGACATAGTATGAGTATGCTTCAACTGCTTACGCGTTACCAGACATAGTATGAGTATGCTTCAACTGTTTACGCGTTACCAGACATAGTATGAGTATGCTACAACTGTTTACAGTTACCAGATGTAGTATGAGTATGCTACAACTGTTTACACGTTACCAGACATAGTATTCGTATGCTTCAACAGTTTACGCGTTACCAGACATAGTGTGAGT